TGTACACTGTACAGTTGTCTGTATAATGTGTAGTGTACACTGTACAGTTGTCTGTATAATGTGTAGTGTACAGTGTACAGTTGTGTGTATAATATGTTATGTACACTGTACAGTTGTCTGTATAATGTGTAATGTACACTGTACAGTTGTCTGCAAAGTTGGAGGCTTTTCTAAAACTTTTGTCTCTGACACTGTAATATATTGGTAAAGTTTCGACTCTTGAATATAAATTCAAACTTGTGCAGACCTTTTAGCAAGGATTTAATTTTAGCAAACATTTTTGTAATTTCGGTGGGGACAGTTTAGCACTCTGAAATAAATGATACATGCAAAAAGAATAAAAAAGGTTGTGTTTACACATATAAAGGGTGATATATGGTAGGACGTGGGGAGATTAAGGTAGTGGTAAATGGGGGGGGGCGGGGGTGGGTTGACAGGGAAAACACTTGAATCAATTCAATCTCTAAAAATACCACTTCTAGCCTATCACCGAAATGGTTTTAAAAGTCGAGGGGGGACTTCTACATTTTTTATTTTTTTAATACAATTTATTTTTCCCAACAAAATGCTGGGACGTAAATCGTTTATCAAACAAAGCCCAGACTTTATAAAGGGAGAATCAGAAAACTGTGGAAAAGGAATACGACATTAAAGCAATACTGAAGTGTATGGTACAAAGCAATAATATGTTTACTAGTAACTTCTTTATAAAGGGAGAATCAGAAAACTGTGGGAAAGGAATACGACATTAAAGCAATACTGAAGTGTATCGTACAAAGCAATAATATGTTTACTAGTAACTTCTTTAATCAGTTATAAAATTAAACGGGTCTGTTTACACTGCACAATTTCTGTGTCTTTGTTCATTTGACTATATGAAGTCATACAAAGTCATATAAAGTCGTCTTCCAATTCCCGAGTTTTCTGGTTCTCACTGTTCACGCTTCATATTTTGGTTACAACATAGTATGAAGTATTATCTTTAAGTATGAAAACAAAAGGAAAACTTTGACGAGCAGGAAATGGAAAAGTTTAGACCGGAAATAAACTGAAATGTATATTTAGGAACTTAAATTTACTTAGGAACTAGAATATATATTTAGGAACTCGAATATATTTAGGAACTTGAATATATTTAGGAACTAGAATATATTTAAGAACTAGAATAGATTTGGGAACTTAAATATATTTAGGAACTTGAATATAAATGCCCAACACTTTCAGGACAAAACCTGTCAAACGTATAGACGACATGTGTCAGAATAAAAGACATTTAGCATATGTTTAACAAAACGAATTCTAAAAAAACCTATTTTATGAAAATGATCTTTGTATGCATAGACAATATACATACGTATATATCAAAATATGATTACGTTAAGAAAAAAAAGATTTTAATCGGTTGTCTTTATAAAAAAAATGAAATCAAGAATCTTCCAAATTGCACTGCTATTTAAAAAGTAAACAAGTTTTAGTTGTATTGTGTACAATGTACATCTTATATAAATACACATATGAGAAGCTGATTTGCCTTTTCTGAATCATGATGTTTAGAGTACAGTCTAATCCATGAAATTGTGAAATATTTCAGTGATATTTTGCGCATTTGATGTTTTAAAACACAAATAGTTAAAACAGTAGCCTAAAATCAACCTATCAAGACACTGTACATAGAATTGAAAACGATGAATAAGATGCAAAATATATAAAAGTTAAGGATCTTGAAATAAATAAAACAAATAAAGGGAAAGGTTACGATTTAGATTTAATGTGAGGATTAAATGAGGTTAATGACTTTAGAGGAAGAAAACAGATTATGTTAGATGTATATAAACAATGCATCAAGGGGGGGGTAGGCGGGAAGGGGTTAAATTGATGCATTTTTTAAGAAGGGGGTTGTTTCAAAATAAGAAGCATTAAAAACTGTAGTTGCTGCGAGCTCCATATTATGTTTCTTATTGCTGCACATGCATTAATTCAGCTAATTTAGTAATTCAGCTAATTTTAGTCATTTTTTTCAGATGTTTCTGATAGGACAGAGTTACTATCAAACCTTCAGAAACTAAATTGTACACATTTTTTTGTAATGTTTTTTCCACATTCTTAAGTTAGTGAAGCTCTAAACTTATTTCTTTATTTGTTAAATGATTTAGTATCAGTGTTAAGAAATTCTAGACATAATTCATCCAATAGTATCTTTAGATTGCTTTATTCACAAAGTTTAAGGTCGTCATTAAAGGTTCATCCTTCGTGGTAACCCTATATTTTAAAAACATCAGGAGTACAACCANAGTTACCTGCAACATCAAGAGTTGCATTCCTACTCCTTGCTCGTCCAACATCATTCACTGCCTCACACCAATATACTCCACCATCCTTTAAATATTTTAAACTTGTTATTATTATTATTAGAATAATCATTAAAGAGAAAATTCACTTATTTAAATATTTACATAATACTATTCGTTTAAGAATAGGCACTGATTGGTTTTACAAGTGAAGATGTTAGATCAGAACCAATTTTTAGTTTTTTGATAAAAGTCCAATTTACAATTTAGAATTTGATGCTTTTTTATCTTAAAGTTTTTCTGTTTTTGTTCACTTTAGCTCTTGATCGCGACCAGTGAAAGTTATATCTGATGTTCCTGTCTCGAGAAATTGATAAAAAAACTATGTCAAATTTATACGAAAATTCAGCTTTCACCCTATACCCCCTTTCATTTTTCCTTTACAGTCCTTTTAAGCTTTTTACCTTTTGGAACAAAAACAGAAAAACTAAATTTTAACAAAAAGTTGGAATGGGGAGGTAAGGGGACAAATGCAAGGTGTTTCTTCTTTATTGATGTAGATGTAGACCATTTAACGTGTTGTTTTCTTTATTTTTTCTGTTTTCGCTTTTTATTGAATCGGTTTAATGTAAAAGGAGGAACAGCACATATTTAAGGGGGGGGGGAAGGAGGTTAAAGGAACGAAATAACCGTCTCAAACTCAGATTTTCTAGTTCCTATATCTTTGAAACCTGATGTCGTTGACCATTGACAAATGACATGTCTATTTAGGAATTTTGTTTGACCAATAGTTAAAGTTTTTAATATTAAATATGTCCACCATCAGATTGGAAATAAAAACAAAAAGTGCATAAAATGTTGATTTTAATGGTTGCCCCCTATATCCCTGTGCTACGGTGTAGTGGGTACTAGGGTACTAGATAAGCTGCGAATATAAATGGAAAAATTATAGAAACGGAAATAAAGTTTGCCTGGAGGGCCATTCATGTACAGTGTACAGGGTACATTATAGATTNAAAGCTGACAAGGGTTAAAAAATCTAAAATCTAAATCCAAAACTGTAAAATTATCATGACAGTGCAGAATGAAAACTTTTTCTCAATTTTATTATATTCGTCGAAAATGTTTGATGAAACTATTTAAAAATCAGGAGAATTGAGGATTTTTAAGCTTTCCATGAGTCTATCATATTCATAACACAATTTTTTTTTAAACCGATGAATATTTATTAATTACATTTTAGAAATGTTCAAATGTTGCTGTAGTAACTTTTCTGGTTTAACGAATTATAAGACAACCACTTCCCCGTTAAGTTTGATGGCCAAATAAAAATGATTTTAAAAAAATTATTTTATTATTATATTCTATTAATTAAAAAAGGTTACTGCGTGAATTGTGCCGTAAAAAGAAAATGTAATTAATTTAGTTTTCAGAAAATTAGATAAAGATAAAGATTTTTTTTAATAGTTTCCTGTTTTTACATTAACACTTTTTGCATAGCCATTTTCATCAATATAATTCATGAACAATGGCTATATATGAGTAAAGTTTGATAACTGAATGTGTTCATAAAAATCAAATTATAAAGTTCAAATAAATGATTATGAATCATAAGAATTTATAAATAATAAAAGTTTAACCGAACATATTAGAAATTATCTGATGAAACACATGTGACAAACACAAGAAAATAAGAAATTTAATAGAAATCAATGGAATAGAATGGAACAAAGAACCTGAGTTTTTGCCAAAAATTCAAATGTTCTAATCCCTGTATCTTTGCAACCTGGTAGTGTGAACCTTTAAACCTTTCAAACTTAAACTATCGGATCTAACAGAAATTTCAAAGATCTACGACATCAAGTTGCAAAGATATAGGGATTAGAAAATCAGAGATTGTTGCAAAAACTCAATTCCTTTTAAGCTTGAAACGTTAAAAAGGTGAAAAACACTTATTATGAATATTTTAAATGAGGGGGGGGGGGTTTATTCCAGTTTTCATTAGTCAAAGTCGATCCAGGAATGTTTGATTTCAACAAATCAGAGCTCAATGTGATCAAACTTTATACTGCAACTGCAAGATATAGATTATTTAACCATATTGTTTCTCATCAAAAATTACAGGCTCAAAAAGACAATTTTGAACTAATACTTAAATTTAAGATCACTAAATGTATTTTTTTACCTGATCTCTTCTAGTCTGCATAACTCGAAGGAAAAACAAAGAACCGGTTGGAAGAATTACCCTGCAGTACATAATATTATGAACAAAGAGAACTGGTTGGTAGAAAAAACTTGCAGTACATAATATTAAAAACAAAGAGAACTGGTTGGTAGAATAAACTTGCAGTACATAATATTATAAACTAAGAACCGGTTTGGAGAACAAACCTGCAGTACATAATATTATAAACAAGAACCGGTCAGCAAAATTGATACCGCCAAAAAAGTTTTAAAAAATAAAAAAGTTTTCGGAAATAATGTTCTAAATTTTGCCACATAAAAGTCATATGGGAATAAACTGCTCGAAGTCCCACCATTTTTTTTCAAGAAACTTTTCCATCTCTGACTTTTTTATATTAGATTTGGTAGAATAACCGGCCCTGCAGTACATAATAATAAAAACTAAGAACCGGTTTCATTTAGATAATTTACCGTGGCATAAAGGACAAGAATAGTCGCTATTACATAAGTGCTGAAACTTATTTTAGATTATACAAAATTCTTACAGCGGGGCCCATAAAAATGCGGAACTGGAAAACGAGAGTCAGATTTTAAATAGCCTAATGAACATGAAAAACAGAAGTTGTGCAATGTATAAAAAATTAATCCACTTAATTGATTAATTTTTAGGGTATTAGTAAAATTATTTGCTTTATAGAAACATAAAATACACATAAAATGGCTTAAAATTGTATTTTTATTCCAGAGTTTTATGAGTATTACTGTATTTTATTTGTTGTACGAAAATATTCTTAAAATAAACTATTGAAGCTATAGATGATTTAAATATAGAAATCTATTAATGAATAAACTTTTTTAATTTTAAATTGACTTCTTTCCTAACTCATGATAAGACATTTGACACATTTGAGAACTTTTTGCTTCATCACTCTAAATATTTTGATATTTTCCCGTTTTTATACAATTTCTTTTAAAAATATGTAAAAAAGTGTTAAAACACATTTTAATGTTTTTAAATCAGGCAATTTTAGTATTAAACCATATAAGATCATCCAAGTGTGACATTGGTTATCAGTTTTGACCCCTGGTCAGTGTGGTCAGTGTTTGAACTGAAGTCCCCTGGATTAACAGATCAGGTAGTAGATATAGATGCAGGGTTGATGCGTCTGACAAGTTTATACGTGCTGCAACGTTAATGAACATAGTATTACAAGGAACTTAAAGAACGAAATTATTTGCATTTCCAAAATTACTATTACTAAATTCTAGAAACGATCCCTCCCCAGAACCACTGGACACTTTGTGGAAATATACAATAACCCTACATTATACACCTGGATTGATTGATTAATTCTAAATATACAGCTACATGCAGCTGACTGTTTAGTAAATCTCTTTCATGCTAGTCTGCGTCAATGATCCATCTATGACTATATGTTCTGTGCCTGAATTGTAAAGTATATACCTGTGAGAATGAGGGTGGGTAGGAGCAGTTTGTACCTCCTTTCCATCTTTATACCACTGTATTGTCGGCTCAGGAGTACCATCAGCCTGAATGGGAATGCTCACGATTAATAAGTAAGGTAGATGTTGAATCCCATTTAGTCACATGACCATTTTATTTTAGTTATATCTAATGTTTATAATTTCAGATCAACCAGTATAAAAATGAATTAATACAGCAGCTTTTAGGATGGATGAACACAAAAACGAAAAGAAACGAAAATAGTGCTAATCCAAAACCCACATACATTTTTTCCGAAAACCGTTATTTCAGGGCTCGTCGTATTGGCGCATTTTCAACCTAAAAAACGGGCACAATACATTTTCTTATAATATTCTTCTCTTACCTTACAGTTCATGGTTACTGGCTCATTTTTCGGAACTAGGCTTGAGGTGGGATGCTCTGTGATGATTGGGGACCTTAGGTCACCTGAAAAATTATACTTATTTAGTCAATCATAAACTTTTTCCGTAAAACATAAAAAAATGTCCAATTTCTTTCCTAAAAAGGATTTGGAATACAATTTTTACAAATTTACGGTTTTCTAATCCAATCAGTTTAAAATTTTAATTTATTCCTTAAACAATTTTACAAAAAATTAAAAAAGTAGATATCTAATAAAGATTTTTCAGTTTAAATATTTCTAAAACGCAATTAGGAGTTCTCCTAAACACCAACCATCAAACATTATAAAATAAATTGTAACTTTTAATCCTCCACAATTTTATGATGATAATGATAAGTTAAAACTTATCATTATCATAGGAAAAAATAGCTATAATCGTAATTTACGTCCAAGCGCGGGTAAACGGCGGGAGTATCCTGGGCAACACTGGGTTCTCAAGCTAGTATAATATAAATTAAAAGATTAAAGATAATAATAGATTTTGGAAGAAAGTGTTAAATTAACCAATTTTTCAAATTTTCAGATTTGCGAATACTATTCTAGTCGTTTTTAACAAGTTAGGAAGTTAATATTCTCATTAAAATCTTCTAATTTTCTTCTAGTAGAAGGAGGATACGGAGGGGGGGGGGGGGAACTGAGGGGGGTATCTATAAAATCTAGTTTATTATAGGCGTGTGTTCAGACTGCATAAATCTATCGTTTAACATATGTTCTGGCAAAAACTTGAGTCCTCAGATATAATTTATTAATAAAAAACTAAATATCTAGAGTAGCTTTAACATTTAATACATAGAATAGCATTAATACGTGGAGTAGCTTTAATACATGGAGCCGCATTAATGCATGAAGTAGCTTTAATACATGGAATGATGGAGTAGCTTTAATACATGGAGTAGCTTTAATACATTAAGTAGCTTTAATACACAAAGTAGCTTTAATACATGGAGTAGCTTTAATACATGGAGCTTTAATACATGGAGTAGCTTTAATACATGGAGTAGCTTTAATACATAGAGTAGCTTTAATACATGGAGTAGCTTTAATACATGGAGTAGCTTTAATACATGGAGTAGCTTTACTAAATGTAGTAGCTTTAATACATAGAGAAGCTTTAATACATGGAGTAGCTTTAATACATGGAGTAGCTTTAATACATGGAGTAGCTTTAATACATGGAGCAGCTTTAATACATGAAGTAGCATTAATACATAGAGTAGCATTAATACGTGGAGTAGCTTTAATACATGGAGTAGCACTAATACGTGGAGCCGCATTAATGCATGGAGTAGCTTTAATACATGGAGTAGCTATACTGAATGGAGTAGCTTTAATAAATGAAGCAGCTTTAATAAATGGAGTAGTTTTAATACATACAGTAGCTTCAAAACATGGAGCAGCTTTTGTAAGTTGAGCAGCTTTAATATATGAAGCAGCTTTAATACATGAAGCAGCTTAAATACATGGATCAGTTTTTATACAAAGAGCATTTTTATGTATGGAGCAGCTTATAGTTTGAATTCTTGAGGCAACTTTAAGGTATGGACCAGGTTTATTTTATGATTGCAACTAATGAAGAATACATAATTTGAATTAAAGATTAAAAATAAGGATTCGTTTGACTCCATTCATAGAGTTCTCATTTGCAGAGCTATTAAGTCTTTCAATCAACCAGTTTATCTTGAGAGTCAAGTTTTTATTTCTAATAGTTCTACTTTATAGTGCATTGAGGCAGATCCATTTATAGATAGATAGATAGATAGATAGATAGATAGATAGATAGATAGATAGATAGATAGATAGATAGATGGATAGATAGATAGATAGATAGATAGATAGATAGATAGATAGATAGATAGATAGATAGATAGATAGATAGATAGATATATAGATAGATAGATAGATGGATAGATAGATATTGATAGATAGATAGAAGTTCTGTTTAAAAGATTTGTGACATTGATCCTCTTTAGATTTAAACAAATTGTTCTTCAATTGTTTTTTATTGCTAACAAATTATACAATACCCGCGGATGTATATTTATCTGTCTATCTGTCTATGACTATCTGTCTATTTGCCAATCTGTCTATCTGTCTATTTGTCTATTGGTATCTGTCTATCGGTCTGTTCATCTGTCCATCTGTCAATATTTTTATCTGTCTATCTGTCTATCTGTAGACCTGTCTATCTGTCGATCTGTCTGTCTGTCTATACGCTGATTTAATAGTTCGGTCAATATTACAGCAAGTAACGACTTTTGATCACCAGTTAACATAAATTATTCTCTCTTTTTTTTTCATCAGTCGGAGTTTTAATGCTATAGTTACATCTGTATATCTGTCTGTCTGTATATCTATATATCTGTCTATCCTTGTCAATCTGTCTGTCTGTATACCTGTATATCTGTCTATCCATGTCAATCTGTCTATCTGTATACCTGTATATCTGTCTATCCTTGTCAATCTGTCTGTCTGTATACCTGTATATATGTCTATCCATGTCAATCTGTCTGTCTGTATACCTGTATATCTGTCTATCCATGTCAATCTGTCTATCTGTATACCTGTATATCTGTCTATCCTTGTCAATCTGTCTGTCTGTATACCTGTATATCTGTCTATCCATGTCAATCTGTCTGTCTGTCTATCTGTTTATACTGTCAAACAATTTTTAAAGTTTTACACATTTTCATTTCAAACACTATAAAATGCTCATTGAAAGTTAAAATCAGTATATTTGTTTCGTAGATAGAAACACGGAAGTAAAATAGAAAATGAAGGGGGGGGGGGGGAGGGGGAAGATTAGAATTGAATAAGATTAAATTAAATTAAATTAAACTCTCTGCTATAAATTGAGCTAGATCAGCCAACTAAAGTATTTTCAGTTTAAACTCTGGAAATAATTAAAGTTTGGTGAGAGATGAGAACATTTTAAACAAATAATTCTAAACTAACAGGGACTGTCGTCTTCGTAATTTCAAGTGTCCCCAGATTCTAACAGGTTCATGCCCAATTCACAACGGCACCAATACAACCTTTATCTGAGATGAAGATATCGTCGTTTTTATATCTTCAGAAAAGTATCAAGTTATGACAATTTCTTTTTTAGACTCTGCTTCCTTATTCCGGAAGTCTATTTTAAAGTGAAACCACGATGGCAAATAATCCATTTTTAGCTTGACACGTTAGGATATCTCCGTATAGAAGTAAAGAGTACTGTTGTCAATCAGACATGCCACTTGAAGTTAGGAAGACCATTCGGTTGTTTTTTTTCATTCTCAAAAACCAAAACTTTTAGCTAAATTTGAGACACAGATTAGAGAGATGTAAAATCATATTTTTCGAATTTGTTTTTCCTAAAGTTAAAATTATCGTTAAAAAATTTGTATCTTACCTAAGGCCAAATTAGAATGAAGAAGGTAGAGTAAGATTAGATCTTTCATAATGCCTGTCCACAATTTGGCCATTTTATTACTATTTATTAGTTTGAAAAGTTTCACTGTTTTGAGATTTCTTTATTTTCTTCATCTTTTTTTCGATGATCTTGTTCACTTGTTGTCGTCTTTTCTTCAACTTATCTGAAATAGACAAGTTATCTTTAAAACATAGAAAAAATATGCAATTTAAAAAATAAATGGTAAACTGTCTCTTAGTTTTGATCTTTTTGTAATAAACTAAAAATGTTCTTTAAGGAACATAGGCAAACACCTAGGTTTCAAAGAAAAGGAATTGCATCTTGGCCACCAACTCTGCTTTTAAAATCTGTGGAACCCAAAGTCATAAATCTTTAATATTTCAAACTTATATTATTTGATCTAACAGAATTCATAGTTTGAAATATCTAAGGTCTACGACATTTGAATCCAAAGATATAGGGGTTAGAAAATCAGAGTTGGTGGCCAAGACTCAATTCCTTTGGTAATTTATATGAAAACGATGAAAGGAATTGAGTCTTTGCCACAAACTCAATTTATCTAATCACTATTTCTTTCCAACCTAGATATTCTAAAACCTTAGATATTCTAAACTATGAATTCTGATTAATTAAAAAGTTATGACAATTAAATGTGGACATCATCAGGTTGCAAAGATAGAGGAATTGGAAAATTTGAGATTATGACAAAGACTCAATTCTTTCAGCTTGACAAGAATAAATCTATGATGACAAAATATATTTGTTTTATTCAATATTGAAATGATACTCAACAAGATATACAGGATAAGGGTGTCAAATTTCAAAGTTCCCCTACTCCCCCTTAAAATTGAAGAAAGAAAAAAAATCAACCCATTATTTTTTTCCAAAACAAGAATATTAAATAAGTGTAATTAATCTGTTTTTGTTTCAAATTATTTGTGTAGATAATATTCAACCCTGGTCTTCTCTTTCTCTTAAACCTTTCTTGTGGAGTAGAGTTTTAAATCTTATAATATCCTTCTCTCTTCTCTCTCTATACCTGTCCAAGTCCTTGTATATATCGACCCACACATTGGCAAATAAGTTGTTCTTTTAAACGATTTAACCTCCTTCAATTTACAAACATTTAAAACCATATTTGCCCCCACCCACCTAAACATTTAAAACCATATTTGCCCCCACCCACCTAAACATTTAAAACCATATTTGCCCCCACCCACCTAAAAAAGTCAAGGCATTCAGGAAAAAAAGATTATTTCTTTCAAGCACGTCAGTAGAAGTTGTTTAACTGTATATTTAAGTGTAAAGTACTGTGATTTTTTTTATGTAAGTTTTTTTCAAGAGCATCTTCAAAATTGTTATTTTTTGTCCCATTTCAATGTTTTTATACCTAAACACAGAAGCAACTAAAAATTTGGAAAATTTTGTGCAAAACATCACTGATCTTTGATTTTTTTTACTCCCCCTGTATATGTATATATAAATGTATACATACAGATATCGGGGTTTTTGGATCAATCTCTCCTTGTATCATAGATTCACCTTAAGATACAAGATACACATATATTCACTATAAATCCATATTTACTTTACCACATGTTTTCCCATGGGGGGAGGGGATTACAGGGGGGGAATATGGTTGAAGGAGGGGGGGGGATTTTTACTTATTTATTATTCTGTTATATGTATACTTTGTTTATACAAACCACGTTGTTTTCGGAAAAAATGTATCTTCTACAAAGAGAAGATGTTAGTACAATCAAAGTTTGATCAAATTTGATGAAATAATGCATTTTCGGAGACTTTGCAATCGTTAGAAGCATTATAGACTTAATTAGGCGAAAATGGCAGAAGATTAAAAAATTCACGGGACGAGGGGGGGGGGGGAAGGTTCGATTTATTCTAAATTGATAAGAAAATGCATTTATGCATTTAACACGTTGCAAGACATTTTTAGGTGCATCAATCATTTTTACAACAAAATGATATAAGCAATTTTTGGAGACAATAGAATTGATTAGATGATTTAAATTTGGACATAAGTTTCTTAACTTTTCCGTATTCTAAGTAGAACTCAGACCGGAGATGTACTTCTGAAAGAAAATTACTAGAATTTAAAAATCTAGTAATTTTCGCTTTTAATTCTATTGTAACATTATTACCTTTAAATATTGGTATTGAAACCGACATTTTTATTCATAATCATGCAACTTAAAATTTTTGAATTAAAATTAAAATTGATTTTAAATTGATTTTAAAAAGCGACAAATTTTGAAGTACATTTCATATTTCATATTTTCATTCAACTACAAAGCACGAGATAATACTAATAACAAATCACAATTAACTATGTAGTTTGGACCCGCCTAACCAGAGTTTGTTGTTTTGTTTGGTTGGCCCATTATAAGCGAATTGACTATTTTATTTAGATAAAATAAAAAACAGTAAAATTAATTTGATTTATATCCTTTCTCTATTTTGTAAATAACTTTTATCTCCTACCTTTATTCTCAATTCTTTATCATAAAAAAGACTAACTTTTTGAAACACTTCACGCCTAATTAATATCTGCATCAAAGTGTAAACAATTATACAAAAGTGTATACAATATGTGAATATATGTATTAGTAATATTTTAAATGTTTTTTTAAATATCCCCCCCCCACTTTAGTTTAGTTCGTGGAAAACTTGAATGTTTACAAAAAGATATAGAATATCGAGAAAAGAAATTGAATGTAAACAAACGAATTGATATATTTATATAAAAATGTATATTTTTATACAAATAAACTAAACTATCAATACATGAGTGTATAATAAACCTAAATATAAAATATATTCAACCCCTCCCGTCACTCAAGGGTTGATTATAAGACAATGAATATGCATTGTAATACAGTATACAACTATATTAGCATAGAAAATATAGTTATAGCATTCTATTATAAATTATGGTAAAAATAAGAACTTATGGTCTTCGGAAAATAAAGCAAAACCCATATTTTTTAATTTAAAATCATGATTTTTAAACACTTTTTTGTGTCTTCTTGTTCCAGTAAGTTATGTGAAAAAACAAGCTGCGAAAATGCGCACGCTTATAAAACCTTCCGCAAATATTTTGATGCACTGTTTTGCAGTGGCAATTGAAGTGCTCTTGTAGTTGGGAGGGGAGGGGAGGGGGGAAAAGAGAAGAATTGAAATCGACACTAAATGTTTAAACACAATCAAGGAAGCTATAACAGTATACTTTATAGGCTTGAATAGGTAGTTATGATTTGACACCCTTTAAGTTTAATGTTTAAAGACAATACTTAAACTGATTTAACTCGGATCAAACAAAGCTAATATCAGATAAGTAGAAAAACAATCCATTAAAGATAGAACATTTAGGACCAGATTTATATCTCATCGGAGTAGCATTATATCGGAGACTCTAAGAAGGTCTCCGACGAAAAAGAAAAAAGTTCTTTTGAAAAATAAGAAAGATATGAAATGTATTATTTGTCTCCGAAGTGTACATCAATAATAATGATAATAAAACTACTGATGTATCAAGTATCAAAGGAAAATATAATTGTGATTGATTATAAATAAATGCAACATTATTAGGCCTAGGACCAAACTTAATAAAATGGCGAGAATTAGGTCCCTAAAACCTTAAAATTGTTGCGACTTATTGAAATCGAGTCAATTCCATTTGATCAGTTTACCAAAGGAGAAACAGGTTTAACTCATTTGAATAGATTTAAGGTGGTACATTCATAAACCAGGACGCTTTGTAATATTACAACTTTTGCCATATTGTATGTTACTTAATTGCAATATTACAAAAAATTACAAAATTACAGAAAAACTATGATATTTTCCACATTTTTAATTAGATTAAGGTTTCAAGGGTACCGTTGTGAATCAGGCATTGCCATCCTTGGCATGGAGGGCCACTTGAAATTACACTTATGGTCCCTTAAAAACGTGCCATTTTCACAGATTTAACGTCCCTTCCTGCCCTGATTTCCCCTGTATTTTCATAGTTATAAAACGAGACTCTTGACAATTGAAGTTGGAGCAGGATAGGGTTTCCACGAAATGGCTAAATCTTTTGCGCAAAATTTGCGCTATTTTCGCGCAAATTTTATTTTTGCGAACTTTTGCGCTATTTTTGCGCATGAAACGCAATGAGTTTAGCGCGGTTTTGCGCTATTTATTTTGCGCAATTTGCGCAAAACCGGAAATATTTTTTGCGAAAGTTGCGCATGAAACGAAATTTTAGTTTTGCGCAATTTTTTTTCCGCAATTTGCGCAAAACCGCAAGTTTTACACAAAATGTAACTTTTTAGGCACATTGTCAAAAATTGATATTCTAAGCTTAGAATTAAACAACTGAAGATTTATTCCATATACAAAAATATTAACATACGAGTATGATAACGATTATACTACACTCAATTGGTTACTTCCAGTTACAAAAAGTTTAAATTAAGGGACCAAAATTAATAAAATAGAAATTAGAGAGTGTGAAACTTGGCAATATTTTAATCCTATTAAATAATTTCAAGTGACCCGGCCTTAAAAGCTTTGCTTAATCATGAGTATGAATTGTATTCTTAAATTTTTTTAATCAAATTTCTGAATTTCTGAAATCTTTTTAATCTCATATAAAATAATGCAAGAAAGTAACCAATGCCTGAAGAATCCACTTTTAGGAAATATGCATGTCCAAAACTAAAATTGTCGAGAAAATTGTGAGATTTGAACTCTTCTTAATTGTCAATTGGTCAATTATGTAAAAGTGACCAATAGGAAGACATTCCAAAACAAGATTTTTCCAGAATTGAATTCTAAGAAACACAAACCGTCACCAACCGTGTGATTTTTACGAAATTGCGGAATTGCGGATTTGCGCAAAACTCTTGTTGCGGAATTGCGCAAAACTTGAGTTTCGCAAAAGCGGAATAGGGCAATTTTGCGCGAAATGACTTTTGCGAATGATTGCGCAAATTGTTGTTTTTTCGCGCAAAATTGATGCGCAAAGAAAGAAAAATATTGCGTTTCGTTCCGCAAAAATTGCGCAAAATTTTTGCGAATGGAAACCCTAGAGCAGGACTAGATTTATATAAAACTGAAAACAAGGTTTTAGATTGGTAGATAGATAGATAGAGAGAT